TGTAGGGTTTTCTCTTTTGTTTTGTATAATGCATAAGCTTTAAGAAACAGGTAAGATAACACTGTCCAAATTAGATTTGCATTATTTGCAATACTGAACAAAGCAAAAAACTGCATTCTGGAAAAAGAACTTAATTTACTGACTTTGAAGTAAATTTCCACATACTTCTTAATGAGGCCCAGGTGGTAAAACTAGGTTAGGAAATGAAACTGAATCTAGTTTCCTCCTATAGTGATTTGTGTGTATGGAAAAGATAAGAGATAACACCAGGCCTCTAAAATTTAAGAATATATAAGTAACTTAGTACTGATTCTTTATATACTCTAATTGCATGAGACAACTGACAATTTTAATAGTGATATTTTCTTAATCATGACTGGAAAAAGAAGAAACTTGGAGCTTTGGCTCATTTTATTTCTGCCACTATTTCATGAATTGAAGAACTGTGGCAGGTATTTGCCTCATCGCTATTATTTACACAGAGTAGAAACATAAAGATTATTTTATGTAATTTTTCTATGTCTTCTTGATGTTTCTTTCATTCTTCCATAGTAAATAATTTGGAAGAGGCAGGTGGAGCAAACCAATGGTAATAATGGCAACAAAATTTCTAAAAAATTGAAAGAGGCTGTTGAATTTAGATTTAGTTTGCTTGAAGAAAAACATCAAATATGTATGTGATAATGCTCTTCATATTACAGCCATTTCTTTTACCTTTCATTTAATGCTATCTAATTGAAAACAAAAACTTTAAAACGATTTGCATAGCATAGATTGATTCTGTCTTAGCTCTGTTCCTTAGCTTCCAAAGCAGTGTTGTATATTCATTCAAACAATAGTTACCTAGGGTAAGTTTTTACAATCAATATTAAATGCAATGTACTGTGTGTTTATCCCAGAAGTATACAGCTAACATTTAAAATATGTTGAAAGTTGCCATATTTTGAAATTAAGGCACTTTGTATATGTCCTGGGTTACTGGGATAGAATCATGAAGTCAGTTTTCTGTTCAGGAAAGATGCATTTCTGTAAGGACTGCGGTGCTCAATTTCATGGGAACAAAGTGATGAGACACTTTTTTATAGTTTATATAAAACTATACATATTAGTTATATTATTTATATTCTCTATACTTTGTATAGAGAAAATCAAGGTCTTTAGCAATTGAGACAAACATGTGCAAGGGCTGGGAGAAGTGGAAACCCAGGATAGTTGACCCCAAGCTGATTCCAGGCTGGCCAACCAGCCAATGAAAATTATTCGACACCATAAATGTCATACTCACTATAAATTGGGGTGCTTACTGGGGACAGACTCTCCTACTTAGATGGATGACACCCCAAGTGGGTTTTGTCTGTCATACTACCCCTGAGGCCTACTCCCCTCCTATATCAGCTGAGTATAAATCTGTGTACTTTATGTTAATTCTGTTGTTGTTATTAATATTATTATATTCAATCTGCTTCTATTTCAATGCATAGGTCTCCTTTCCTTTTCCTTGTTCTTTTCCCCAAGTAGAGAGGTGTCACTGGGTGACAGAATACCTGTTTAAACCACAGCAGTATAATAATTTAATACCGCTATTAAAAAAATAATAATAAATACAGCTTCATGTTGTGGTATTGATACAGTTTTTATTTTTTATGTCTAGCTGTTTATTTTAAAATATTAGTTTGTTTATAATAATTCTATATGTTAGTCTATAATAATTCTATATGTTAGTCTTCAAATAAAATGAATGCCAGTTGAATCAATGTCTATTTCTGTTCAATGAATATGGAGGGGGTTTTTCTGAAAATTTTAGTGGCATTTTCAGGCCACTAGAAGTAATATGATGGCATAAAGGAATGTGCTTATCTCATGGTTATTATCAAATTCTACTGAATTTTTAATGAAACAATATGGAGTAGATCTCATTAGCTAGAGGAGTTATTACTGTTTATTTTTTTGGTTCTGTATTCATTTTGGTGTCAACTTGTTAGTTGAGGTTTTGTTATACATATTTATGTTTTTGTGTGTGGTGGAGTGAGCAAACAAAACCCACCAAATGTTATAGACAATTTTTTCATTTGATGAACAAATTGATCAACAACACTTGATGTACTGTCTAGATCACTCATAAAAGATCATGGAAACTTGAACAACTGTTTCTATTGAACTATAAAAGTGTTTGGTTGTTTTTTAACTTGGCCCAATTCTGACAGGTGGTTACATAAATGTTCTGTTCTTCACAGAATCCTACATTTAATTCCACATCAAAGATTCTATCCTAAATTTGTAGGCAGTGTTAAATATTAGGAAAAGTGGAGGAAAGAGCAACTTTCTGATGCTAGTTGGATATTCTGCTGTACTCTGTTAGGAGAAGTTTTGCCTGCAGAGGTATAGCAACCATAAAAACACAGAAGGTCCTTTAACATCTGTATCTTCATGGAAGTGAAATTTCTCCATATGAACCTATTTTATATAGATTCTTTTTAACTTGATCTGTAGTAAATTAATATATCCTAAATTGTAGAATCTGAGCTTATAAAAAATACTTTTGAAAATATAAATTAGCTGTTAGTCTCAGTGTGAAGGAACAGTACATCAAAGGCAATTTTCCTTTTAGGATTAAAACAAATCTTTAATTATTATATTGAAATTATGACTTACTTTTTATGATTCTCATATATATCTATAGAAGCTCAGATGATCAAATACTACACTATGGTATCATATTTATTAAATTCTTGCAATTTTATTCCTTATTCTATGGAACTAACCTTGATAATTTTCATATGTGTCTATAGAAAATAAATGTATATCTGGTCAAAACTGACCTTTGTAATGTAATATAGAGAACCTAACAGCTATATTGCTGATATTGACTTGTGAAATATCTGCTTTCTTCCATTTTCCATAATTCTGACAATACTCTTTCTTTCTGTGTCATATTTAGATTTTCTCTGGATCGTCACACTGACCTTGACAGGATATTTAATATTCATTCTGGAAATGGGTCTATCTATACTTCTAAGCCACTTGATCGTGAGATATCACAATGGCACAATCTTAGTGTCATAGCAGCTGAGATCAGTAAGCCAATTTGGTCTATTTTTCCTTTCGGTTTTCCTTAGACTGCAAAGTTACAGCTGTGACTTCATGAGGAAAAAAAAAAACCTCCCTTCCTTCCCCTACCTCCCTTCTATTAGATATTCTGGGAAAGTAAATTGGAGGAGCTAACAGCAGCTCTCTTCTCATTGTTTTTTTTCTCACTTACTTCCACCACTGACTTTTAATGTCCAAGTTACTCCTAAAATGTTACCCAATTAAATAATAACACTGGAGTAATTCTGTTTCCTTCCTTTTCTTTGAGGATAATTACTTTGTTGTTAAAGTAGCAGGGTTCAGGATGGTGATTTATGTTTTTGTCTCTTGTTTTCTTAATTTCCTTAGAAATAATTTCATTATCTCTTCCTATAGTATCTATACCTACAGCTCTTGGAATCAATATATCTTATAAGTTAGGTTCAATTTGATCCCTAAGCTGTAGCATTTCTTGGACTATTTAAAATAGCTCTCCGTAGATATTTTCATGTTAAAAGTACAAAGAAGAAAGCAGAGATCATCCTAAAGCTGCTACATTATTGAGATTAACTCTAATTGCTCGATAGAAAATTTACCAAGGAACAAAGGTCTGATCTATGAACTCAGCTAGTGAGGTTCACTTGCTTTCAAAGACACTTTTTTTAAGGTTAATTCTATATCAGTAAAAAAAAAAATTAATTGCTGATCAGCAGTGAAACATGGCTGGCAAGAACTACACTGTGGAGAATGAAGTGGAACATTTTGTTCAGCCAATTAACAACTCTTAGTCTGCTTGTTCTCATTTCTTCAGTTCAAAATAGGCTGGTTGTATTGAGCACACCTAATAGCTGTACTCTTTTTTTTTTTTCAAACATTATTTTTTTCCTTTGCAATGCATAGTCCCAACCTTGCAATACTTCAAAGTGCTGCCCAATGTTGACACTTTTCAGAAGTGTTTATAAAATGAAAATCTTAGTATCCTTGTATGCTTATATTATAGTGCCAAACTTATTTCCTTGTCAGGATACTGTGAGCAAATTTATATTCTGAGCCTAGTTAGAATAGCTAGCAGTCTTTGAACAGGTATATTACTTTTGGAGAAAGAAGTTAAGGGGGAGATCGAGGTCTTTAAAAATATTTCCTTTATAGCATGACAGAATTGGAAAGCAGGGTTAAGAGTAGAACATATTTGGAAATTTAGTACAAAAATGCAAAAGGCTATTAAACAATGCCTTAAACTTAGCATTTTAAATAATTCAGGATGTCAAAAAGATCCACATCACATTCTTTAACAAAGGTGTTTTTACTAACAAGTGAACTTAATGCCAGCTACTCCTTAATGTTTACTGGTTTATTTTAAGCAGCTTAAAAGAGAAAAAAAAAATCAGTAATTTTGAATCACCTACATTGTTACTTATCCCATTCCATTAAAGTTGCAAAATCATATAGTGGTTAGCTGCTGTCTAGTAGAATTCCAAGAAATGGTTGCACATTTTTACTCTTAGACATTCTTTCAGATTCTTGGCATGGGAACTAGATCAGCAAGTGAGAATGGGGACTCCTGTATTCCTGAATTAACCTATACTAATGAAAGAGCACTCTAAATAATACTAAGGTTATGGCATTTGACAAGCAGGGGGTTACTATTCTTGTTTCTAAACCTAAGGTCTGAAAATCTACATTATTTTTTTAAAGACAATTTAAAGACAAAAACTCTGATTCTAATAAATTCTTTACCAGATTACTTTTGGGGTTACTCTCACTGGCTTTGTTGGAATTTCTCCCTACTTACTAAGGCACAAGAGAGCTTGAAAAATTTTCAAAATATGTATGCACAATAATCAGTAATGTTTTTTCCTGTCTAAAACAAAACAGGTCACAAATAATTTTAAAATAAAAAATCAAAACCTTACAGCAGATTAATACTCTTGAGCCCACCAAATAACAAAAGTTGTCATTATAGTAGTGGGCATACTTTTCAAACACTGTATTTGCATAGATTTTTAACAGTTGCAGCTCCTATTTTCTTGTAAAAACCTAATTCCTCACTAGATACCAATGTTTTAATTTATTTTTTACTTTAAGCAAAATATCTCCTTATTTTTATGAGGCCTGATTCTTGGTATCAGTTTGTATGCTAAATTTCGACCAGTTTCATACCTAAACTTGGATGTCTATTGCTCATGAAATCTGGAAGAAAACAGAAAATTATTATTAGGAAAATAAACTTATTCTTCTCTTTTCTCCTCTCAGACAACCCCAAAGATACTACTCGTGTTCCTGTCTATGTAAGAATTTTGGATGTTAATGACAATGCCCCACAGTTTGCTGTATTCTATGATACTTTTGTCTGTGAAAATGCAAGAGCTGGACAGGTATGACTTTGATAAACTCTTTTCACTAACCAGTTTTGGTACAGTACTCAAGTGTAGATTACTCTTGCCTATTGCTTTGGAGAAATCATATCTGAAATAGCTTTTGAAATGTTAAAAATGAAAGCAAAGAAGATCTGTAGGTAAGGTTTTGAGTGAAATATGAGTATATGACAAGAGCATCACTGTGGAAATTACTACTTTTCTTTACCTAACCCTGTACTACTATTAAATCTTGACAAAATATGTCCAAGAGACACAGTCATTAGTTCTGCTGTTATCTTCACAAAGCAAAATGTTAACATGTAATTACCAGAAACTTTAATCTATCTTTTCAATAACTCTCAAACAGCAAAATTTAAATATATTTCAATCCATGCTGATGGTGATTATAGTCATATACATCTGTCATACTATTTTTTTTACAGTTGTTAGACTTATCTTTTATTATGACACAAAAAAACTTTTGAAAAGAAAATACAAAACATACATTTTTTTACGTTATAATACTTTGTTTTGCCTCTTAGAGGCTATAGCATGTGTCCTTCAATTTAAGTGAAATGACTACTCTGCTTAATATCTAGCAAATCTATGCCTACCCAATCCAGAGCAGCACTGGCACACTGACCATTCGAGTGTGTGCCTGTGACATATCAAATGTCTTGCTATTACAGCACAGCATTTCCCAAAGCACAGTCAGCCAATACTATATCCTTTAAAATGTTAGCAGTACTACCTCATTGCAGTCATTTTAGCACCTTTGAGTAGAACATGGGAGAAGTGCTAGCTTGCCTTAACTGTTTGAGTCCTATCAGGTATGGCATACAGGTTGTATTAGAACATTCAGGTTTCCATTCTTCTTTCTAAAGTAACATCAGCTGTAAATTAGAGCAGAGGATTTAAGGACCAAGTTTAGAATGCACAAAATATCTATAAGTACTGAGCAAAGGCATTTGTCTACTATGAGAATTATAAGACAATTCAAGTTGTTAGACAAATAGAAATCCGTGGCTAGAAAATAATCTAGAATTTCGGACAGTAGCAGTGTCTTTTATAAATGCTAAAATAATATTTTAATCACTTTCTATATGAGATATAGAGTAAGAATTGGAAAAGTAGAGCACTGAATTTTCTTCTTCCAGTTTCACCAAAAGAAGTCATGGGTTTAAAAAAAACATAAATCCTAAATTCATTAATCAAAAAAATTTACTCTGTTTGAAGTTTTAGAATCTGTTTTTTCTAGGTTACTGACTATAATGGGTACAGGGAATGCTTAATAAAACAGTTGTATTTTAATGTAAACATACTTGTCTGAGCTATTTAGAACATTGAGGTCAGTATGATTTGAAAGTAAATAAAAATGTTATTTCTACATTACACTGATTTTCTGTTTACATTCAGAAAAGGCTGACAGTTATAAAGTTGGAAAAAAACACAGTAAGCATTGATAAGTAATAAATGAGAAGCTAAATAAGTGTACGTATCCATAAATGTTTATTTAAGTTATTATAGAGCTCAATAGTGTCTCCTTTATTAGGAAAAAAATGCCAAGTTTACTAATAGGGCTATGAATATAAATTTTTTTTTTAAAATCTGAGTTTCAAATGATTGTTTAAAGAAAACAATTCACAGGAAGAGGAAAAAAATGCAATGCAGGATAATATGAATAATAATTTTAATGTAATTATATTCTTGCTTTCTAATAGATCATATATAAAACTTGTTATTTTGGAATTCAGTTCATCCTAAGAGATTGAGACTAAGAAATCCGTACTGAACATGGTTCTTTAAGTTTCGCTCCTCCCACATTTATGTTGTTACTCTTTTCTTTCAGGTTTACATAATTACATTTGATCCATGACCAAATTTAAATCTTCCATTCTATCACTGAAATTATTACGATTCTTCATCAGTCACAAATTCTGTGATATTCATTTATTTCCCGTCTCCTACTGACAAATATTTTAATGAATATTGTAGTTTTCCAGTTTCTCTATATTTCTTTAAAATTTTCATTTACTTAATTTATATAGAAGTATATATAAAACAGATACATACACATATATATATATACACATACACACATATACATATATACATATATATAGCAAGAGAGAGCGGGCAAGTATTTTTTATGAAATGTGATTTTTGGCATCTAAGTGACTCCAATGGCCTGTGATTGTTTTCCTGCTTGCTGTTACTGCTGAAGTCAGATCATACAATGAACTTCCAAACAACATGAATACACTGTTCTGAAAAGCTTAAGCTACAAACAAGCAGCACCTGTGTCAGAATGTCTTTTTGATGGTTGTTGTTCTTTCGACCCTCTGAAAAATGAAGACAATCTTGGTGTGATAGCATACAGGAGACAGAGGCATTCATGGGAGCTATATAAGGCTGTCTCAGTAGGAGCTGAGAGGAAGAAAGGAGCTAAATGCCCAGGCTTATGCAGTACTCTACACAAGGAAGTTCAGCTGTCTTCCTCACCCATGTGAGAAGAGCCAGCAGCTGGGCATCTGGACAGATGGATTCCCACTGGTGGTGTCAGCTTCCTGCTGCCACGCGTCTGGAAGCTCAGCAGCCAGCTTCCAAAGATCCTCTAATGTAAAAGGCAGGAATCAGTGTAGAAAGCAGAAGTCAGACCTATTTTAGAGAGATTTTACATGGAAGCTGAGTGTATTTTTATACATATTCATTTTCCTTATAGTAATGATCAGAAGAGGGGCCCCTCTTCTCCCTTTGCAAATGCAAAGGATAAGAAAGCACAAGTAGACGCTGGACAGCAGCCAGGTGCTCAACCAGCCACTCCTGCCCTTCTCAACAGGATAGGGGGACAAAATAAGATGAAAAAGAAATTGATTGAGTAAAAAACAGGGAAATCACTTACCAATTACCATAACTGGCAAAACAGACTGAAGTTGGGAAAGTTAAAAATAGAATAGGATTGTGAGAAACAAAGACAAAAGAACTAAAACATCTTCCTTCCATTCCCCCTTCTTCCTGGGTTCACCTTCATCTCCATTTTTGACTCCTCTACCTTCTCCTCTCTGCCACTCCTTCTTCCTCACGCTTTCCCTGCTCCAGTGTGGATATTCCCAATGGGCTGCAGTCCTTCAGGATAAATCTACTGCAGCATGGGGTCTTATTCAGGGCTGCAGGAAAACACCTGCCTCACTAGGATCTCTCCAGGGGCTGCAGGGGCATCACTGCTGGGGCAGCTGGAGCCCCTCCTGCCCTCCTCCCGCTCTCCCCTCAGGGCTTGCAGGTCTGTTTCTCACTTCATTTCCTTCAGCTCTGGCTGCTAGGCAGCGTTTTGCCCTTTTTTGCCCCTGACTTTCACTGAGGTGCCGGACCCCTGACTGAGGCGCTCAGCTGTGCCCTGTGGTGGGGCTGTCAGAGCCAGCTGGAACCGGCTGTGTCTGACATAGGGTAGCCCTGGCCCCTCCTCACAGAGGTTGCTCCTGCAGCCCCCACTGCTGCTGCCAGCACCTGGGCACCTGCACCTGACATAACATTGTGATGTTTAAATAGGAAACTGTTTTCTTTCGTTTCCCTTTCACCATTCATCATCTTCTCCTACTCTGGTCATTGTAATATATACATACATGTATGTCTGGGGGCTTATGTACATAAAATTTAAAAATATTGAGAAACAAACATATACCACATCACACAGGCCTTGTGTTAACAGACCTATACCATCACCTATAACTGTGGTGTCCTGGTCCTTTCAAAGATAGTGTTCTTTGTCTGAAGGACTACCTACCTGAGCCAGAGGTAGGAAGTAGGTGAAAAGCATGACTCTCTGCAGCCTTCAAAGCCCCCAAAGTAATGAGGAAAGTTGTATTTCTATCTGTTTGGGTCTCCAAGCACACTTGTTACAATCTTGCTGTCATTAAGCCTTCATTTTATCAAATCTATACATGCCTACTCCTTTTTCACATGTCCTAGTGTTATATAAATCTCTCATTACGGATTCTCTTTCAATGACATTTTGTAATATGAATTATTTCTTCTCTTATTCCCTTTCTTCTATCTTAATTTAGCATTCCACTTTCCTGTCCCATGGGAGTCAAACAGAAGGACTAGCACTAACTTATGTATTTGAACACTTTGCCTGGAGCAATGGAATACTACCTAGGCTTACTTCTCATCAAAACTCCAATATTAAATAAGTTTCTACAAGTATAAGATACACACTGGTAGATGTTACGTCATGTAAGAACCACGCTAGATTATAACTACTGTTTTGTGTCAATGCAATTACCAATATAGCTACTCTAGCCTTAAAGGCTATGGAGAATACTTTTATGATAGTTCCAGGGAAACAAAAGACTTCCCAAATTTTCATTTTTGGAATAGTATTGATAACTTCTAAACTACTTCAGACAAATAGCTATTTCCTGGTAGTCTGCCAGTTTCTTTCTAAAAGTCTAGTTTGTTAAATTGCTTTCTCATAGGAAGGCAGGGGGATAGTAGAAGTCAATCATATTTACTTCCTCCTTCAAAGAGTCTCTTAAAACTAAACAGGATTTTCTAATAAGACTTAAGTACTTCTTTCCTGGATAGTTACTGCTGCTCATTTAACTACATTTTTAAAATAACATATTAAAAAATAGTACATTACAATTCCTCTCAATTTTAAGTCTTTATTTGAAAGCCAATGAGAAAGAAAAAAAAAAGCTGCTCATGTACATGTTGATGAAAAATAAAGAGGTGTACCCAGTAAGAAATGTTTCTTTTTTCTTCAGTTGAATTTGCCTATATTTAAAAGACTCTTAAGTAGTTACTGTGCCATACATTATTGCCTAGAGGTTAAAAGACAAGCAAGCTATGGCTAAAAACTAGTATACTGAAGGCTTTATTGGTCCTTGAAGCTTAAAGAATGAGTCCAGGTTTTGTAAAACAGAGATAGTACTGCAAGTGGCTGCCTAGCAACTGCACTAAAGGGAAAGCTTGTGCAGCATAGCTCCCGTGGTGACTTACAATCTTGATTATTCCTATCAGTTCTGTGCCCACAAACAACTGGATGATGACTGGAAAAAACTGTGGACTCATTTGATTTTTCTGTCAGATGATGGTACAGTGTGCTTGAAGTGGTTAAATTTCTGAAAAATAATTAAAACATTGAGCAAACAAAGACTCACTTTCTTGAGATCCATAACATGCCCTAAGATGGCTGAGACTAGGATGCTGGAGGAACATGATATGGAGTAGCAAGTACAATACACTGAAAGTTTGGAAGATAATACAGTGTATCAGTCTTAGGAAACACTTTCTGTCACATGGTGCAATTGCTTGAACCTGAAAACAACAGAAAGAGTCAAAATCAAAGAACTATCCGATAAGAATGCTGTGGGATGGAAAGTTCTGAGTTCAACCCAAGTCTTGATTAGACAAGTCTGGAGAAGAGACAGAACCATTAGAGTCCAAATGGATAGCCTGAAAAAATTGTAAAACAAAAATTCCCTGTGCCACACTGGGATCCTCAGTGTCTCCTCACCTTAACTTGGATCACAAATGGTGAAATAGCAGAGAGTGGAGACAACAAGTACAACAGAGCTATTAGCAGTTACTAAGGGATGCAGCTGAGAGGGATTCCAGACCTCAACCTACTTTAAAACAGAAGTTGTGATAACTCTTTTTGCTCAAGTCAAGAATCATGAAGTCAAATATGTCCTATTAGGACATCCAACTCTGTGATTCTGCTATGATTGCAAGAGAGATGAAGTAGGCAAGCAAACACCAAAATAACCTATATCATTGTCTGCGGCCTACACCTGTACTTTTATTGCTTCCCAGTAATGCAGGAGGAGTAATGCTTTACGCCTTGCTCATTTGCATGTTGTGTCCATGTGTTGTCTGAATGTGGCCTCATTTGAGAAGAGGCTAGTAATGTAGTGCCAGTGTGAATTACCAGTGCTATTTTCATTTCATTTTAAACTATGAATATAGACACTCAGAAGTAGAGGAGTTGATTTTCATCAGCTTAACTCCAACAACTGACTACATTAATGGTCTGCAGTTGTAAAGTAAAATAGACTAGTGTTTTCTTGACTTAATTTTGCAAAAATATCTAAAAATTTATTTGCTAATTACTAAATAATGAAAATCTTCATTTTTTAAAAACAAGTAATATTTTATGCTTGTATGATGTTTTGTTCATCTAGCAAGTTATTGGAGAAATTATCTGAGAAAACAAATTTAGAGAAAGACAAAATTCCAGTTGAGAAAGCAAGCAAGCTGCTGGTATTAAACCCTGTCCCTGCCTTATGAAGAAATTTGTTGCTGTATTCTAGATGAATAAGAGAGAATTTAGGACTTAATCATGCATTTGATAAGAAATACAGGAGTACACTGCAATTCTTAAAGTTAAAGATAATAATTCCTGACAACAGCTGTGATGTGAAGTGAACAGGCTGTATTTGGAAGAACTGAAAGGAAAAACAAACAGGGTTTAACAAGTATGTCACAGGGAAGGAGTAATGTAATGTCAAAATTTAGATGCATTTCATGCTTGAAAAAACACTGCAATTTAAAATGATGGATAAAAATAAAGAATAAAAATTCAGCCAGAGGTACAGCTTCCATTGCTATGGCATTAAAAAAAAAAAAAACAACCAACAAAAAACCAACAAAAAACACCAAAAAAAACCAACCCACAAACACAAAGCAAAAGAACCCCACAAAACTAAACAAAAAAAAAACCCCAACCAACCAAGCAAAAGCACCACCCTGAAACAAAACAAGATGTCAAAAACTGTATTTTGTTCAGGAAATCATATTTTTCCACACTTACGTACAGAAACTTCAGTGAAAAAAAGCCATACACTCATTTACCTGACATATAAACAGATGTTGATAAAGGGCTTGCCATTACTTCCTCCCAAAACACCCAAACATTTTTGTAGGCATTACAGAAAGCACTCAGTCCAACTATTGAACTAATTGGATGCAGCTTACTCTGAGAACTGTGACACCAGATTCTCCTCCCACTCTGAGGTGGTACATCTGTAGACTATGCTACAATATTTTACAAGAGATGTACATACATACATACATACAGACATACATATATATATATATATCTATATATATAAAAAAACTGGTATTTTTCATCTCAGGGATCTTTTTGGTGTATTTTGCTATACTACTACATAGAAAAATCTTGGTTTAGAAACAAACGTTTTTATTTGGAAATTTAATTTGAAACTCTAACTCCAGAACTATCAGAAAGTTAGAAAACTATCAGAAACATCTGTTTGATAAAAAAAATTAATCACAAAAATATAAAATATCCCCTGAATTCCTGTCTTAGGTGTTGATTTGAATTTAAAATTGTGGATCAGGGATAAAGAACAAAAAAGCAGACAAAACTATTTTTGGCGAGATTTGTCTTCTATGTAGTTACAAAAATAGACAAATATGTATTGAAAAAAAGAAATAGAGGAAGACTAAAGTAGAGGCTGGCCATTTTATACATGTACATGTATGACCACTTTAAACATGTATGAATGCTTTTTTTGGGATTATTTATGATTTGTTTGTTTAACATTTATTCAGTTAATATGTTCTACAGATAAAGTCAATATGTGTATAGTTTGGATATGAAGTTGTCATAACAATTCTAATCTTCTTAAAGTAATCAAACAACTGAATCAAAAACTTAGGTGTGTTTAGTTTTTTTGTTGTTTGCTTTCTGTTTTTCATGCAGCTTATTCAAACCATAAGTGCAGTAGACAAAGATGACCCTCTTGGTGGACAGAAATTTTTCTTCAGTTTAGCTGCTGTTAATCCTAACTTCACTGTTCAGGATAATGAAGGTAAAATTCATGATTGTTCCAGAGAAAGAGTTTCAACTTTGCTATCTGGCATGTTCCTGAAATATATTTGCTTTTGATGTCTATCATTAGGTAGAGAAGCTGTTAAAGCTGTTGTTAGCAAGAATAATAGCTTTATCTGAATGTTTTTGGTTTAGGACTTCTACATCTTTATCCATGTAATGGAGGCAAAAATTAGTATGGCAAAAATGTGATAAAACAAATTATAAAGAAAATCAGTAAAAGTGTTGGTTTGAGGTGAGCAACCAGATGAAATGATTGACTGAAGGAGAAAAAGAGGTTTCAAAAATAGCTTCACCTGACAAGTTCAGATTTTTCACTTTAGCTTTCTGTCACGTAGTTCTGATTCACCTGGTCTTCTGTTTTGCTTATTTCTGACCATTAATGAAAATAATGGTTTTGAGGGCATAGCCACTTTGGCTTTTCTTTTGATCCTTTGTCAGTCTTTCTTTATAAGAAAAAATTTTTCAAAGACTCTGTTGGGGAAGGAAAACTTTGGCTTTCATTATCAGTATGACTAACTGAGAGGGGTCTAGATTACAGAAGAAATAAAGGGAGACATGGTATCAGCCTTCAAATATGTTAAAGTCATAAAAGCAATGGGAAAAATCCTCTTTTCCTGATTAAGATTTCAGGAAGCAACATGAAGAATTTCAGGTTAGATAGAGAAAAAACTA